ATGAACCCGGCAATAAGTGTGGGGTCTTTCCTAATAGATATCACTTCGCTGTTACTTTTCATTTTATAGCTTACGTTTGCTGCCTATACTTTTACCCCTTACTTCATCGCCTAACCCGCCCACTTGCTGCATGCATTACGGGTACGCGTATCCATGCACAAATACGCTTCTTGTGACCGATGTAGCCTTGCCTTTAGTAGCTGTAGTCCCTATGCGCCATGCGCCGACGGTGATGAGCCTGAAAGTACCTTCTGGTAAGCATGCATATATATATAATGACATTCTCAAAACAGCACACTAGCACCATGTGTAGCTGCTCCATCCGCTCCAATGAAAGCAAACAAGGGAACGCAACCGTAGCCCTCCTTGGAGCTCACCTCAAGCGGACGCGAAAACGGCCCTGTCCACCATCTTTTAGTTTCCATGCATTGCGGGTATAGCGCATCCATAGACCTGCTCCCCACAATGAAGCGGATATAAGAATTGGTGTGGTCGCTGATCACCTCCTACTCCTTTTCTATGTCTATTCTGCCGATGCTTTCCTTTAGTACTTAGATATAAATTTTACGTATTTCACCCTTTGAACTGATATTCTAATCTCGTGTCAGTGGTCTCTTTGATTCCGGCTACTGTGACCCTGAGGATCGGAGATGGGCAGACTTATCCGTCTGCTCATATATCCCTGTGAACATCGTTGGATTTTATACTTCCCCTAATTAGAGCGTTTTCCTGTTCGCATTCTGCTTACATTAATTTTGCAATTGCACGGATATACTTTCAGACCTGGCTCTAATCTACCCTCGGCTGAATATTCCCGTTTCTGACTGCTCCCCGACATCCGGGACGTTATCGCTCTAGGCTCTACATTCCAAGCACTCTGTTCCCCTTATCCCGAGACCTTCCTTGACATGCTATCTGGCTTTTTATATTGCTGCTGACGTCCCGAAAGCTTCTTATCTTTTGACACTCAGTACTCTTATTTACACCTTAAGTTGGCGGCCCAACTTCATCTTGCTGGCTTATCCGGACTCGTCTGAACGGTCTACTGCTTTCTGACCCACCTCGGACTTCTGAAATCTAAGTGAGTTAGGCTCTGCCGACGTAACGTCACGTAACCCTTAACTGAAACGCATTGCTGGCCAAGATTCGTCCTTACTACTATGCCCCAATTCTTCCTGTACATGTCTATTCTGCAGATGCTCTCCTTTAGTAAGTAGACATAAATTCTACGGATTTCATTCTGAGCTGATATTCTTATCTCGTCTCAGTGATCTCTTTGGCTCCGACTATTGTGACCCTAATGATCAGAGGTGGGCGGACTTAACGACCTGCTCACTTCACCCCAATAATATGGCTGGCCATTCCATTTCTTGTCATGCTACCTGGCTTTCCATGTAGCCGCTACCTTCCCGAAAACTCCTCATGACATTCATTAAGGTTATTCACACCTTAATTTGGCGGCCTAACTTCATTTTGGGGGCTTATACGGACTCGTCTGAACGGTCTACTACTTTCTGACCCACCTCGGACTTCTGAGGTCTAAGTGACTTAGGCTCTGCCGACGTACCGCCTTGTAACATTCACTTCAAAAGCATTGTTGTTCATGATTCATCATTATTATTATATCCTCCTTTCATCCGCAACAGTTCTCTTTATGCCGATGCACTCTTTTAGTATTTCGACCTAAATTATACGGCTTTCTTTCTATGCGCTGACACCCTATTCTCGTCTTAATGATCTTCTTTCTTTGGACTACTATGTCCTTTATGATCAGGTTTTAACAGAACCATCGGCCTGTTCACATCACTGTGAGGCTAACTGCAGTTGCGTATAGCCACTTTCGCCCTAAACTGCTTCTTTTATGATGACACTCATTACCTTATACTTAGCTATATATGGCGGCCTAGCTTCATCTTGCTGACTTACCTAGTTTTGTCTGAACGGACTCTTTTTTCCTGACCTTTCTCGGAATTCTGAGCTACAACTAATCTAGTTACAGCTGACGCAACGCTGTTACTCTCACCTTAATAACATCACTAGGCATTATTCATCCTTCTTTTTATTAACAAGAATAAATCATCACCTGAAGAAGGTCGGCGGCTTTTCCACTTCCCTTCAATAGAACCTGTTTTACCGACCCTTTCTTTCCTTCCAGTGCATTCTGTTGCATTCCTTCTTCATTAGACGCTAACTTATATGCGTCTGTCCTCTCTGACTTCTTACATTCCTACCAATTTAAGACTGAGGCAACGCGTCCCTGTCACTCTTTCTGAGTGATATTCCTTCCCATAATCTGCACACCTCGTCCTCCTCTCTGGTTCCAAACGATTGAGCATATGCGCATTAGGACCCCTCAGAATCTCTTTCCTTCATCTTCATTCCTATTTTGGAACATTATTTCATTCTCTACTGATCCGTGATCCGCTTACTTCTCGTCGTATTACGCTGCTTAGGATACACATGTATATGCGATAGTTAAATAACAATTACATGTATGGGGGCACAATAGTTCAGTCAGCGCCTAATTGATCGACAGCTTTTCAGACGCATCCGTTTCTTCTCTCTTTGTGGCTGCTTCTGTTCGTTTCGTTTTTTCCCGAGTTTGTCAAAGGTACGGCGGCACGCATCCTAGGAATCGTCCACCGTTGCGACAACAACACAAGCCACCCAGTTCCTGTATCTCGACATGAGCGGAAGGTTATCCACCATTTTACAACTTACTAACCGGGTAAATCATTCGTTATCATGCACGGATACAAATTTTCCGAGGCTTGAATCTTTGGGTTCAGTTTGCTTAACGCTGTCTCTTCCACATTATTCTTGCCTGGAGAACTACTTTTGACTTCGGATGGCACATTCTTCTGCGATACAAAGCCAGAACAATTGGTCATTATGAGGTCTTCAATCCGCGTTAACCGCTCATTTGTCCGTGATTTCCCATATTTCTAATCAATATTACTACATACCACGGGGATCTGCGATTCTTTCTTGAGAACCGTATTCTATCATTCAAGGCCTCAATAACAATTCAACATATTTCAATGTATATCCCTCGGTGACTTCATGTGGTTCTGCAGAGGATCAACAAGTCATATTCATAAAGTATGTTTAGTTCCCGACCTACCAATCGGGCGCAGGGCAAGACTCAGGAACGCAATGGGCACCCGGATAACGCATCAGCCGGCAGAAAAATAGGAAGCAAAAGGACTGCGAATAACCGAGCAAACAAACTTTCAACAAGAAACATAGCCAGTTACAATTTGCCATTTAATGGATTGGCGGCAGTGTTCCAGGACGTGGTGGGTTTTTGCCTGGTATGCCTTCCCCCTATAAAAAGCCACAAATGTCCGTTTAACAACACTGCAAGGTGGCGAATGTGACTCGCCACCGAATAAAGTCACAGCTCATAACTTCACACTGGCAGGTCAACTAGCGTCATCATTCTAGATAGGTTCGTTACACTGGACTTTCTACATTTGCATATATTGTCGTCCTTTTACTTCCTACGATACATAGAGCTTTGCCTTACTTGTGCACGAACTCACTCTATTGGCATAGTTATCTTGGGCGTGCTCTTCCATTACCTTCCAATGGATCATACAGGGTTCTCAATCTATCATTAGCCGAGGTCCCGGTTTCACGACAGCCAAATTATTATTTCGCATTTTCACCATTGTACAGTTCAAATCATGGACCTATGAACAATTTTCTACTGTCACTGTTACAGTTGCCATACAACTTTTGTGAAGTTGTAAATAGCTGATCATGCCTCCATGGGCGTGCCTCGCATAGTCGGGAATAAAATATTTATTTATTTGTTTATATTCACCTTTCCAGCTTCCTTTGCTATAGCGCACTTAACACATTAGCTCATACTTCTTATCTGCTTCTACAAGTACGTTGGCAGGTTCTGCAGCCCCATGCCCTAAAGCCACCAATGTTCCCCTACTTGGCACATATTAAATGTGGTGGCATGCTACATGTAATCATTCCACATAATCGTTAACACCTACACCTTACGAAAGCACCTATACACTATAACTCAGTCCTCCACTGTGCTTGTGTGACGCTTTTCATTCGCCCGCAGCATAAGCGTGAACACTTTGATTGGGATTGAGCGACGATGAACTGAGCAGTTTACTTGCCGTTTCCACTCTTATCCTTTTACATCTGCGATCTCATTCCATTGCCTTTGTATCTTAGTAAAGAGTGCGCCGATTATTTACATTTGTACAAATATTATGTTATTTCAATATCCGCCGTATAGCAGAACAACATAGGTAAAAGTTCAATAACTTCGCTACTAAAATCAGGGGTCATACCCACACACGCGGATAACCATAGTTTACAACTACACCCCTTTAGTGCTCGACAGCTTAATGGTACCCTCCATCATTCTTCCTTCATGAAGTAAGACTATCGTTTACGTCACCTGTACCTTTCAGCCATGTGCCGGTATAAATTAAATCACATCTGGTTGGCTGCATCCCCCTACGGAT